TGACAAGTGTGAGAAAATGGATAAAAGGGAGGCTGTAAAATGATTTATACGCTGTTATGAGGTCATAAGATCTCAACATATTTGAACACCTATTCTGCACCAGTTTGTGCACGGTATATTTATTGGTGGCTTCACTACTGCCATTTACAAGCCAGCTGTCAGTTTGCTTGTTGATACAGAGTGAACAGCAGTGTTGTGAGGCTGAAACGGCAAAAGTCCTCCCTAAATATTCTTTTAATTTGAGGCAACCGTGGTCATTCAGTCACATACAGTGACGGCTGTTCTGTGTTTATATTAAGATTTTTTTTAAAAAAAGAAAGAATAATGAAGCAGACAAGTAGTAAAACGTAACACTGTTGTCTTTTCACAGGGTGCTTATGTGCACTAATTACAAATAATATTTTTCTTTGTGAACAACATATGGTATATTCTGAAAAGTGGGAGATAAGCTCCCTGGTGTCTCTCAGATTACTGCACAGATTAGTGATATCACAATGTACCTGTTTCCACTAAACTGTAGCTCTACATAACTCCAGTAAAGTGAGGCATTAAACCACTCAAAAGTTTAACAGTTTGCTGAGTTGCTATACTGAACTTAAAACTTTAATTTTCCCTAAAAACAAAATAATTCACTTATCGATAAATGCTGCATTGTAAAGTCTAAGGAAGTTCGATCTGCCGACAGCCAGTTCAAACTGTATAAATATTAGCCAAAAGCTATTTACAACTAAACAGGAAATCTCACTCTGTCGTTTCTGGGAAACATTGCCCCTGCTTGCATCTTTCCATTGGTTTCTAAATGCAAACACATCAGGTTTAAAATTCATTCTTTCTCAGCAACCTGTCCTTAAAAGCAGTGTGTCCATCCTGTGTTCATTTACTGTTTCGAAGTCAGCGGTATGCAATCTCATCCTCTCATCCAACCAAGTCAGAAACTCATAGTATTAAGGCTGAAAGAAACTTTGAAGATGCTTATGGAGGCTAACCAACTTAGATCCAACCTTTACCTTTAAATTAAACAATTTTCTAAAGGTTATCGCATATATTCATCATCCAAGCAGATCCAATGTGTGCATCACTCCCTCTTCCCAAACAGGCAAACTCCATTAGTCTCCCTCAGAAAGTGGTACACGCAAGCAAAGGTTAAGAGGAATTTATGCAAATGTGAGCTCCACTAATGCACTCAACACACCCACAAAAAACATGAAACAGATTTTTTTTAATTTTATGACTATCATGTCAAATTCTTTTCAGACCCAGAAACCTTTGTCTACCATCACAGATGACCGCCCGACGCTGTTTGTACGTTTGTTACGCTGCATGTTTACTTTATATTAATTTCACGTCTCTGACATTCTGAAGGTAGAGCTGCTCAAACAGAACATGTCAATATTTGAGCGTTTTGGGCGAGAGATATGTTTAGTCTGCCCTCGATGCGAGTGTGAAGGTCTTCTGCTGGCATTTCTCCCAGTTCCTTGAGATATTTGACAGGGGATTTACTCTGCGTTGTCACTGTGCTGGAGATGGAAGTGAATCCAAGTTCTTCTTTCTGAAAAGCAAATTCCACATTCTATGCCCTGTTTGGACTTTTACACTTAGAAAGCAACTCTTCCAGAATGTCAGGGGCCAAAATAGTCCACGGCTGGCCCCAGGACATTTGGGTTTTCCCCTGCCAGCTAATAACCTGAGTGGACAGATGTGTGGTGACAGGGAAGAAAATGAGTATTGCTAAACGTCTCCCCGAGCAGGGATTTGCTAATCATAGCATATCAACCTGAATTAGGAATATTCACCCCGTCAGGCTTTTGCTTTTTCCTAATTGTGGGCTTCATGTGTCTGTATTAAGAACTATACACAGCATTTTAGGAGTTTTAGTATTTTTGAGGGTGGTACAGGATTGTAAGCTTTTGCAAGTGTTGCTAGCTTACAACCTACGTTAGTAACCAAGCTGATTTCAGTTTCCACATCCATTTGTTTTTGGAGGTCTGTGGTACTAGAGGTGGGAGTAAAGTTTGCTCCCCTAGGCTTTGTTAGCCAGCAGTACACATAAGTATCAGGCTTGTTTCCTGAACTCTTTATCAGCCGGAGAAGATGCTGATGTTTTGACTGAGATAAGCAGATTCATCAGCAGTCTGTCAGTCAGAAATGTGATTGTAATATAAGAACAGTACTAATGGAATGCCAATTAACAACACTGTCAGTGTTTTATGAATGGTTTCTCAAGTGAATGTTGAAATCTGTGTTTCCACAAAGTCCGCTTCAGCTGGTGTAGAGTGCAGAGCTGAACGGACTGAAGCTCAAGACACAAGTTCACAATTAGTGTTGGACTGTGATTTTTCACCCAACTTCCTGGCAATTCTTATGAATAAGTGGATGTAACATTTCCAACATTTTCAAAATTCTGGGGTCTTCACTAAACGTGGAACTATCCTGGAATGTGGAAACAATTAAATTCAAAACAAACTGTTTAAAATTGTAAAGACATTTTGAAGAAGTGTGTGTGGTAAAAAAAAATCATCCCCTCAAAGCAGCTGATAAAAATCACTATCGGTGAAGATGGACTGAAGCCAGGGTCCTATGTTAAATCTACTTTTAGCACTGTTATTGTTTGGGGATCTAAACTATTCAGATCGCCACAAACTAAAACATATGGTGGTAGGTGGAAGGGGAATAGTCAGGGGCAAGAGGACATTAAATTAAATACATTTCTGTTGTCCAGAAATGTATTTAATTTTTTAAAATTTGAGGTCATATATGTGCTGCTACCTGCTTCCCAGAACAGAGTCCGCTGGCGTGGTGTTGCGGACCTGTGCTCCACCAGGAGTCTACAGGAAAACTGATTGATGTGCTGTTCAGATCTGCCGTGCTTAAAGCTGGAAAACAACAGGTTAATCCAGACCTTTTTGAGATAACAAGAGAATTTACAAAGAAATCTAAATGTGGAAATTTTATTTATGTATTTACACTCTATAGGGTTTACATTATATAAGACAAAAACATATCAGAACGTTTTTGTTGTTTTCTTAGGAAAAAAAGATAAGTAAATGATCAATTTTGCTTCTCTTAATACTATTGCTGCAGTAGCTGCACTATGTGGAACTGAAGGCTGACTTGGACTGACTTCCACTTCAAAGTGGATTGATTACTCCTGTCCACAAAATAGAGCACGCAGATCGATTTGTGTCTTTATTATAATACAAACAGACCACTTTTTCAACACTGCTATATTCCACTCCACTCCTGTCCAATGAGATATCATCTCTGCGGTTCTACAGACGGATAACAAATGAAAGATGAAAGACATCTGAGTACAGACTCTTCCACGGCGGGTCACCAAATGATTTTATGAAAATGATGATGGCTTTCATGATCACATCAGAATAAGACTTAAAAAAACAACAACATTTAAACACCAAATGCAGGAATCTCTTTTGGAAAAAGAATGGGGAGTGTATAGTGCAGTGTATTTAGTATATATCAGTATATTTTGATTCATTTTGGTGATTCATTTTAGTCTCCCGTGAGTTTTCTTTTGAAACTGTGGAATAGAAAACAGTTTGAAGGGTAATCAGTAATGCAGGGCCAGTTTCAAACTGCTGCAGGTCTGAGAGGAATGCTTGTACATCTGGAGGCGTGTCCCTGGAGAATGTCGAGCTGTCAATGAGTGAAAGCAGGGATATGATTAGAGCACCATGCACACATGTCTCCGTCATTGTTGGAGCTTAATTTTGAGTTTACATCAAAGCTGTGAAAAATGGAAACAACAAACAAAAAATATTCACAAAATGCTAGAAAAAGGTGAAGTTTGATTGCCTTTGAAGAAGTATGTGTGGTTAAAAAAAAAAAATCAACCCCTCAAAGCAGCTGATAAAAATCACTGAAGATGGACTGAAGCCAGGGTCCTATGGTAAATATCTACTTTTAGCACCGTTATTGTTTTGGGATCTAAACTATTCAGATCGCCACAAACTACAACATATGGTGGTAGGTGGAAGGGGAATAGTCAGCCACACACACACACACACACGCACACGCACACACACGAGCTTATTAACTGTGATTGAAACCAAGAAAAAACAGGAAAATATCTAAACACTTTTAAAGATGAAATGGAGTGATTTACAGCTTACTCGTCTTTTCTTAGCCTGTGCCTTGATGCTTAATAGCTTTAGTCGATATATTTGATTGACATTCATGTTTAAATTACTTGTTTGATTAAAGACTTCTTTCAGTACTGAAGCACATGACATCTTCCCTCCCACCCATTGCCCGCAGTCTGGTAGATGTCAGAGTGCGTGAGAGTTATTTCACCTCACAATCCCTAACAAGCTTAGTAATTCAGCAACAGTCAAACGCAGATATAAGCTATTGATCTTTGTCTGGCGCAGGCGTTAGCGATATGAGCCTTAATATCACCGCCTCTCATTCTGCCTGCCCGGCTTCCATAAAGTTGAGCGTCTAACCACAGAAGCAGACCTCGCTCTCTCATAAGCCCCGCGGTGAGCTTGATATAGCGGCGGGTTCACAGGTGTCATTTCTCCGCTAAGTACTCCAAACACCGACGCGATCGTTTCCGTGCCCTGCGCGTATTTTAACAACCGGCGGCGAGGCTTTTGTGAGCCACGCTCAATCCTCCCTTTATTGACCATTTAAGCTCCTCGCTCGCCGCCATCTGAAAGGCTCCCGTATAACAAAAGCAGCGGGTTTCTGCGGCTGGAAAGCGGCCGTCTCCCTGAGCCCATGGCCGGTGTTTAACGCACGATAACAAGCAGAGGTGGGTCGGTGTTACGCGCGCCCACAACAGTAAAGAAGAGGAAGGCTTTCAGCACCGCGGACAGCTCCTGTGTGCACCTTTCAGCACATGATGCTAACACGTCAGCCGAGACAGCTCGCACTGTCTTTTTGTCTTTTTTTTTTTTTTTTTTTTTTTTTTTTTTTTGAAACTTGGGTCCTGCAAAAGCATCCCTCCCCGGAAACCATCACAAGACCACTTGAACACTCCCCTCCTCCTTCCCCTCCTCCATTCCGTCTTGGGCTATATCCTCCAAAATACCAACATCACTGAGAGTAGACAAGGAGAGAGGCCAGACACCCCGGAGAAGTGTCAGGCTGGTAAAATGTGAGAACACTCCGTCTTTCTCGCTTCAGCAAACGAGCGTGTCCGAAACTCTCCTCCCTTTTCCCGGAGGGGGGTTGATGTGAACGCACAGGGCTGCGTTGGCTTCTCGTCACACGCTCGCCAAGACCTCGCACATATTCAATCGTGACGGATTCGTCCCTTCGCTCCACCACTCCTGTTTAAGATTCCGCAGTTGACAAGACGGCGCCTTGCCCTCCCCGCCTCTCTCATCAGACTTATTTTGCGCCGAAAACGGGATTCTGTCCGCTTTTCTTTGGGATTCGACCAAGTTTTCCCTTCCGAGGAGTTTTACAATGACAGCTACCAAGGAGCAGCCGAATCAGAGACAGAATCAACCGCAGCAGGATGAGGTGGGCAACTGGCTTTTTCTTTTGACTTCCACTTTACCCTTGTGCTTTATGTTAAACTCTGCGGGATAACCTGTTCCGCAGCCCGTTCTAGCTTTAGGGTTTAAGGTCTGCTGAGAGGCCACCGCTGTGGCCACATCCACTAAGTGAAATGTGTAAAAATTCAGTGGCCGATCGGCTCCCCCTATCAAGCAGCATCAGCTTTCTGTGCAGATAATGAGGCTGTGGCTCCGGTGCGAAGGGGCTCATTCAAGTTGGGTGCTGCACGTAGCAGCGTCGAATTAATCGTGTCGTCGCCAGCTGTGCGCGGAGCTTATTGTCAACTGTCAGGACTGGGTCACAGAAAGCTTGAACGCCGTGGGCACACGCGCTGTCAGTGAAGGGGGAGAGATTGAGAGAGGAGCACTGCAGCTTGGGCGCATTGTAATTCAGCCGTTGCCTCCTGTCAGCTGCCCCCGACACCTTGAAAGAGAACAGTCCTGGAAAAATCACTTTATAAGGGTGGGGAAAAGAGCGCAATGTGCTTATTTTTCTATCTGCAAGACGCACATCAGCTCTACCTGATGTTCTCATCAGCTCATTAGCCTGCAGGGGTTAAACGTTCTCGGTTTGGCACCTTCACACAGGTGGCGTTGCGCACTGCAATGCTTTTTTTTTCAGGGCAATAAGATCAAGACTGCAACTTGACAACCACGCACGTGGGTTTGCGCCAAACCGCTGAGGCTAAATCAGCTGCAATTAATGATCACCATCAGTTTTCTATTCATCCATCAGTTTGCTTTTCAATTAAAACAAATGAACAGTTCTATGAATGATGCAAATTCCATCTGTTTCACCCCGGGCTTTCCTCTGAGAGGTCCAAATATATTCTGGGTGCTCTTAATTGAATTCAGTCATGTAGTCCTATTATTCTAAGAAATCAAAACCTCGGCCTCATAATTGAGTTTCTGTGCCTGAAATATTAGAAGGCCTCATGAGATGTTGGTGAAGTATGACAGCTCACAGTTTTCTTTGCTCCATCCTCTATACTTAAAGCGCAGTGGATACTACTCAGTAGGGCTCTCAGGCTAATTCAAAGTCATGTTGTTGATTTCATGTGTGAGCACTGACTACTCATTTGATTAGGGATGATATTGTGTACCATATGTTCATAAATGCCAGAAGTTGTTAAGCCTGCAGGCAAGCTGACTGTGTTGGTGCTTTTATGAAGGCATTTCTGGCGTGTTTAAAAGCATTCAGTAACATAGTGGTGACTTCAAAGCAGCAACAGCATGAAGATATATAAGTGTGTAAGAATCACAAAGTCAGGTGATGGTATTGTGAGCAAAAATGTCAGTGAAGTGAAGACAGTTTGAAAACACTCTGAGTTTTTCGAGCACTTTGTGTTGGGAGCTATTGCATAAGATTTGTGCAGCAGGCCGGCGTCATGTTTGCAAGCATTGGGGGTGAGAGTAGTGCCTTAGCTGAGCCAAAGCTATTACTGTCCCAGGCACTGTCAACCCACAGTGAGTATGTATAGCTCTTTGGCAGGCTCTTAACAGGGTAACTCTTCATCAAAGTTGCATGAAGATGCTGAGAGAATTACAAAAGGGGAAAAGACGAAGGTGTCTCTAAATAATGGGTGAAGGAGAAAAGTGGGCCCTAAGCTGTTTTTTAAATGCAAAGTGGAGGACCGGCAATTCTCTTTTCATACTCTGCCTCTCTTTACCACAGTTGAGTCCATTGTTGTTGCATTAAAAGCCTTTTTTTCTCTTTCTTTTTTGTGGTTTTGTCATTCTGACAAAAAAAGAGAAAAAAGTAAAAGAAAAAAACCCCACAACTAGCCACACAAATAACACTGGTGGGAACTGTGTGACGCAAATCCATAAAACTCTCCAGCTTTTCACTTGCTTTTTTAAGATATCTATTATTTTGTCCAGAAGGATGGCAGCCAGCTTGTTTTTTTTTTCCTCCATCATCCAACAATTTGCAGCAATTTGCAAGAACCACAAAAATACCTCTATAACCAAAAATCTGACCCTTCTCTTAAATATCCATCTGTGCAAAAAGCCAAATAAAAGTTTTCAAAATTCAGATACATGAAGAAAAAAAATACAGGGGAAAAGACATCATCTCATTCTTCATGTGTGTTTTCACAGACATGACTGATGTGTCGATTTTTTGTTGTTTCCAAGGACACATAATCGCTTTTAAAGGATTCTGACAGATTTCGGTTTCTCCTACAATAAAGTGGATATATATTATAGTTCTTGGCATGTTAATAATCCAGCTAGTCATTCTGATGTATGGTTATTGGTGTGTGTAGGTAGTAGCAACTATTGTCCCTGTTACAGACTGCAACTTAGTGTATGTGATAAAATGCAAATAATAAAGCTGACTTTAGAGTGGTTTTGGCTTTGGCTTAAATTCTATGAATCTTCTCAAATGCTTTCCAATGCTGTTAACATTAATGTAGGAATCAGGTTTTCAAAAAGGAGAATGTGTACATGAAGAAACAAACAAACAAAACCCCCAAAATGAAACAATATAACTCATTCTGTTCTTCCCCATTTTAAGGAGAATGGGCTACAACTAAATTTCAGACTGCAGGACCTTCTGCTATTCCTGGTAACTGTTAGAGTTTGCCCCCTCCTACTTCTGTGTCAACACAGCTGAAACAAGAGACATTTTTTTAGTTCTTAGAACTCCATTTTTATTATTCCCTTAGAGTAATTACTTTCCCGTCATAAGCATGACATAGGTGTACTGTGACCAGTCCAAAATTAGCAATGTACACTGCAGCTTTTAGCATTTTCATTAACACTGGAACAAAACACAGGGAAATGAATCAAGGGAAGGCTTTACTGAGCCCGTAGCCAATGAGAGAAGCACTATGCATGTGATTTTTCACTCATCAGAAAAGTATTAGCTTGCAATTCCTTTCAGCTTGCAAAGCCACAGTGAAGCAACACAGAGAGAAAATGAAAGCAGGATTGGAAGAAAGTAAAACATGAGGTGACATTGAATTATTAGCGACTGGCTGGCTGTTATATCTGATCAGAGTTCCTATTAGCAGCTCAAATGCAAAAAAGAAAAAAAAAGAAGGTATTCAACTCCTGAAGGACCCCCCTTATGGGTATTTGTGCCCACCAAAATTCTTTGGTCTGGACTAAAGTGTTTTAAGATGCTGACTGATATGCTGGCTCTCTAAGCCATTATGTGCTGTTGTGACGAGCCGTTCTTATGCTGACTGTTAAGACCGAAAACAAAGCAGTTCACTGGGATTTGAGACAACTCTGTTTTTCTTCATTTTTATGTGTTTTTCCTCTGTGTGCTGTTTCAAAGACTGGCAGCTTATACACTGGAAATCGTTTGTCCTATGGTGATCATTTTATGTTCTGGACTGATGATTTGTTCAGGTGCACATGATACACTGACTATAATGACTGTATAAATAAATGTTTTTAGTGATTGACCTTGATAGTCATAAAAAGCGTTATAGGCAGAACATCTTAACTATTTTTGCTTTGCTTTAAAGAGAATACATGCAGTCAGCCAACTGTGAACGGGAGCAGTGGAGCAGTCTTGGCAGTGAAACCATACAGTGTGGCCAATCCCTCTTTAGTTTCACTGCAATCTTAGAACAAACTGACTCATTTGACATTGGCTGATCTCACGCTGTGCAGCCTCCTTTAACCACACACACAATACAGGCTGACTGAGAGGTTGACCTCTCATTGCAACCCTGTGGCCAGCTCAGACTCTGTGCAGTCAGTGGGGTGTATAGACTCAGCACCTGGCCAGACAGAGTGTTCCCCTCGGCTTTGTTAATGAAGCCGTTGCTGTCTGTGACTGGGACTAGAGGCGAGCGTTAGGAGAAAAGGATGCCTACCCTATTGTGATTAAGAGGTGTGCTTGCACATGCTGTGATCCGGTGGCCCGGGAAACTGTAATTCACACTAATGGAGAAAATGTCCTGGACACTGCTGCTGCTGCTTCAGTGGCCTCAGAGACAGTTACTGAGAGAGGGAAGAACAAAAAAGAACAGGTTGCAAGGGAACTCGTGAGCATAGGTGGACAAAGAAAAGGAAATGTGAAGGAGGCAAAGAAGAGGGGGAAGGTGAGAAGACAGGGCCGGTTGTGTAAATGACAAATGGATTTAAAGAGGATCACGTGGAAGATGATGATGTGTGAGATGAAATGAAGTGAAAAGAAGATGTGTTAGTATGTTCAGGAGTGTGAGGAAAGGGACAGTTTTTTATCAATTGCTATGACTTATAGCAACGATAATGTGAAAACACTGTTAGTTTTGAATAATGATGAACTCACAGAAAAAAACTTTGCAAACAGAAGTTTTTCATTTACTGCTTAGTGTCCAGCTAATTTTTAGCCTCCCATAAAGATAATTTTGTTACAGAGATTTGCAGAAGGAATGCTTTTGCATCAGCGACTTTGCTTTTTTTCTTTGTGCTACTTATAATTTGCCCTTTCACCCTGAAAAACTGTAATAAGAAGGAATTCTTCACAAGTGCTCATACGTGACAACCAAGGAGTGACATTCGTCTCACTTTTACCATAAAACTTGTGCATCATGTTTGGATAACCTATGAACCAATGCAACTAATGGTGTTTTTCCTTGGAATGACATTCCTATCTGACTCATCAAGTGTCACATGTAGCACCAACATTAGTGAAAATTCACTTTTTTATTTGCCTCTTATGTGATAATAACTGCAGAGAAAAAAATAAAACAAAGGTGATCTAAGGAGCTTGGAGAGAGGCTTCATCAGTTCCTGAGGTCACCGGTGCCCAGAAAGGAAGAAGTCTCTTGGATGCGAGGTGAAACATCTTCACAAAATTTAAAGAAGTCCAGTCGTTTTCTTTCTAAGCTCCTTAGACTGCCATGACTGGATGACTGAGAACCTACACAGACAAGCAAAGGTCTGCTTCCTGTGGGGTTATAAAGTATGCGTGTTAACCTTTGGGCTTCCAAGGTGTGGCCTTATGTTGAGAGAAATAATGTT